CCTTCAAGAAAATGCAAACAATCCATCCCTCTTCAACCCTGCCAAGTGCTGTTAAAGGCTTAGCCCCAGATGACTGGAGACAGATTGTGCCATTTTCACAGCAGTGCTTCCTTTCTTATAAGCAGTGCTGCCTAGTGGCTAGAGCACTAGACTAACTCAGGAGACTGGAGTTCTATTCCTGGCTCAGCCACTGGGCTTGCCCAAGGTCACCCAGCAGGCATTTCACCTATGCCTCAGTTTCCCCATCTGTAAAATGGGGATGATATTAACTGCTTTGAGATCTGATGAAAAGTGTTCTAAAATGTAGGTATTATATGCTTTGAGTAATAAGAGTTTACAGTGGGGACATTTGCATCTGAGTTTGTACCCACTGAAACAAATGGGGCAATTCACAACTTGATTATTGTATCAAACCCCCTGCAAACTCAGATGGCTAGGACTACAGTTAACCTTGAAAGTGTGACTGAAATGTCTCTTTACAACTTTGACAGCTAAAAATCTTGGTTTTAAAAAAAGTGAAAGCTGAGACTGTGGAGAAAAATTAAGAGTCCTATCTGCCCCCCTGGTTAATCATTCATGCCTCTCATTTGTAAACAGTGCCTTAAACGAATCCAGAAATATATTGGGTCAAGAATGTGGCAGTCTACCAGAGTGGAGGAACACCACTAAGTAACCAAGTGACAGCTCACACCACTGCTTCCTACTGGTTTCCAGTCTGAACCTGAATTGTTCACCTACAAAGCCCTAAATGATTTGGGACATTGCAATAAGCTAAGCTCCCTGGGTCCAAAATAGCTCATGTCTGTTGGCCTTCACAGCCTGCTACAAGAAGTGCACCTATTCCTGTGAACTGCTACAGATGGTGGGGCTTGAACCGCCTCAGGTAGGGACATTATGAATTAGGTTTTATAGGGGGTTATATTATGTTGTCTGTCAAGGTTGGGGGGAAAACTGCAGTTGTATTATTGGTTTTGTATCTTGCATTAGGAATGCCCTTTTGGAAGAAATCCAAACCAATACAAATCAGATAAGAATCTGTCCTGCTTTCATCCACTGCACTACCCTCACAGTAGGCAGTTCTGCTGTAATGAATGTGAGGAGCATTGAATCTTTTTAAAAGCACGACTTATTTTTCTTGGAAATAAGGAAGAGACAGGAATACCGGCGTGATTTTAGGAAATCTACCTTCCTAAAAATAGTAACAAAATGGATGATATTCATTACAATGTTGATTTGTAATGCATTAGAAACACAGTGGAAGCAGAGACGTCAATGTTCTCCAAAACAAGGGGAATAAAATTGAGAAAAATATTGTTTTGAAGCTTCTAAGAAGCTTTAAAGTTTTTGTATATGAAAGGTCACATTAGTTTTAATTTTTTCTTTAAATGCTGCTGACTGTACCTCACTTTTTTAAAAAAAAAAAGTTATTAGGCTCCCTTATGTGATTGACATGTAAGTTTGCCAGCTGAGATAAGGCACATGTAGGATGACAGTTTTCATACCTGCCCTATAAAGCTATCCTCCTCCTGTCCCTGAAACTAATCAGTTATCAAACCAAGAGCTGTCATGTACTTTACAGCTTTACTTTATTAGAAAGCTCCATTTAACACACTTAAATAAGTTCTCTCATAATACCCATAAATAGATATGGACTAGATCTGAAAGAGCCACTTTTCAACTAGCATGGCCCCAATATAGTTAGCTAGCATCTGCATCACTGGAGGACAAACTTCCCTCCATTTTCCTAAATGTTTCCTTGCCACATTCAGCAAACTGGATTATATCATCATCATCATCATCATCACAAGAGTCTCAGTGGGGTAGCAACCACCACATCCCAGTGCTGGTAGGTTTTGTTTGCAATCAAGAGTGCAGAGGTGCGTATCTTTGCTGTGCATGGTCTCCAAGTACAGCAGACACTACCAACACTCTAATCAATAGAACCACCAATACGCTTAGCAATAGCTACAATTTTATTTAATGAAATCTGCAATCTCCCTGCCTCCATTAGGTATCTTTTTACATGGGTGACTATCGATATTCGTTAGCACCATGCGACTGAAAACCTATACGTGATGTAAACAAGTCTGGCAGTGTTTGATCAAGATCCCTTTTGAGGAACAGCCAAATGTGAAATCTGAAGGTCTTGTTTCAATTTTTTACAAGACTGAAGAAAATATATATATTTTATTTCTACAGCAATATCGGGCAAACAAATTTGCACCCCACTCATCATGCCTATTTTCAGTTCTACAGGTAAGTCTCGCACTCTCCAGTACTCAGAGGGAATGGAAACAATGGGACAGATCCGGGGCCATAATAGCCCACTTGGGAATATCCCCAGGACAAAGGTAAGGCTACCAAATGTTAGAGCTGCTTTAGAAGTGGCCCAGACGGCAAAAGCCTGGGCTGCACTGGGGGTGGGGTGGGGTGGGGTGTGTTCAACGAAGATACACAATTTCAGCTACGCTGTTCGCGTAGCTGAAGTTGAAGTATCTTAGTTCAACTTACCTGGCCGTCCTCACGGCGGCGGCTCCCCTGTCAACTCCGCTTACTCCTCTTGCCAGTGGAGTACAGGCATCGATTCAGGGATCGATTTATCACGTCTCGACGAGACACGATAAATCAATCTCTGATAGATAGATCACTATCCGGTGGGTAGTGAATATATACCCAAAGACAACTTCGTATCCCCCAACCCCCTTCACATAAGCTGCACCTTCTGTTACCTGTCAAGAGTCACAGCACAGAACCTTGCCCATGGTCTTTGAACTCATCCTACCACTTCTAGTCCAATCCCTGTTTCAGTCTCTTATTTTACGTCCTTTGCATATGTAGTGCTAGAACATCACATTTACAATAGATTGTTACCTTACATCATGCATACAGCTAGAGGGTGCAGCTGCCTTTTTTAATCAAATGCTTTGGATTTAATTAGGAGACCATTGTTCTTTTAGCCGATCTCAGATTTTGGTCAGTTTGATGGTATTGAGAGGGTTGTGTCCGATCACTGACGGAGTATCAGAAGATAAGCATATTGAGACAGTTCTGGTAAAGCAGAAGCCATTGAAAACTCACCCTTTGCCAACCACAAATACAAAATTACCTTAGAATCATACTAAAGTACTGGGTTAACACTGGTATCTCAGATACCTCACCATGGAAAATTGTTGGCAAATGCTGACAATGGCTGTCGTATTTTTCAGGGAGTGTTTTCCCCTTTGTCATATAAAGCTTTAACTTTCAGATGTTTCTGAATTAGCCACCATAAGGGGCTTCCAAAGAGTGTTAGTGTTTCCCTTCACCCCCCCACCCAAAGAACTCAAACCAGATAACTGGATTTAAATAGTCTTTCAAAAAAAAAAAAAATCTTTGGGTTGAAACCAAGCTGGAAAGTTTCAGGCCAAGAGAATTTTTGGAGGAAATTGCAATTGTCATTACATTCATTCATTCTCTGCCACTATGACAAACAGCAAGTCTCTCTCGACCCAAAAATGAGCATTAACCCAACACAACTTAGTTTATTTTCCCTACTACCACCCCACAAGAGATGCAAGTTTCTCTTATCACCTGCTATTACAACACCTATTATTGTAACTGAAACACACTTTTCAGTCCATTCAACAGCACTCCGTAAAGTCAGTTTTCTCCCATTTGTATGGGTCTTTCACACAGAAATGGGAGATTTAAATGGGAAAATACAATTGTAAAATGACAAAAGTTGGCATGGGAATGCACGGGAGAGCATAGTGCCATAAGGTATTTTTAACAAATGAATGATTTTCAAGTTGACAGTCCCAGTGCCATTTGCGCTCCCATGGCCCCCACATAACTCACCAACTGTGAGTGAGACACACATACAGCCTGCTGGTTAAAACGACTACACATCACAATGGGATAGCACTTTAGATGACCAGAGCACTACGGAGGCAAGAATTTAGCCACGGCAGACAACGCCAGCCCAGCCCCAAAATTGCCCACACCTTGTTACATTTCTCCACAAAGTTGTAAGCCATCCCACTCCCTCCACCAACTCTGTTGTAGTCTTCCCTGCTTGGAGGCTTCCCATTATACAGCTCCACAAAAGGACTATGCACCCTGACCCCCCAGGCTGGCTTATCTAAGAGGGATATTCATACAAAACAGCGGAAGTTATAGCACTTATAAGCTTGTTGCCTAGTAATAAAACACAGTGCCGGTAAGAGTGATTACATGGGCTGCTCCTGGAAGTGAGGTCTCTTATTTAAATCTGGAGAGGGCATACAGCAGCTATAGCACACCTTATGAGGAAGAGAGAGAGGAGATTCCTCTCCTAAAGGTCCACCAGAGAAGAGTCGGAGAAAGAGATTGCAGGGGGGAAACCTTCATGCGTCCTGCAAAACCCTTCCCACAGCAATGAAACCTTCAGAAGCAAGGCCCCACCAGGCATTTTTAACATGAAGCCATCAATGTTTCATACCACTGAAAGCTGACCCCAGCCCAAACATCCCAGTGCTGGGGAAAGAGGAGGGGTTTCCACCTACTACCCTAGGAAATGCCTCACAAAAAACTCTGTGATGAGAGTGTGACGGCCGCCCTTAACCCTGCCCCCGGGGCCTCCCCGCCATCCCCTTGCCCTGCCCTGCCCTTAACCCTGCCCCCGGGGCCTCCCCGCCATCCCCTTGCCCTGCCCTTAACCCTGCCCCCGGGGCCTCCCCGCCATCCCCTTGCCCTGCCCTACCCTACCCTTAACTCTGCCCCTGGGGCCTCCCCGCCATCCCCTTGCCCTACCCTACCCTACCCTTAACTCTGCGCCCGGGGCCTCCCCACCATCCCCTTGCCCTACCCTACCCTACCCTTAACTCTGCCCCTAGGGCCTCCCCGCCATCCCCTTGCCCTACCCTACCCTTAACTCTGCCCTCGGGGCCTCCCCGCCCTACCCTTAACTCTGCCCCCGGGGCCCCGCGATCCCCCCACCCTTCTGCGTCCCGTCCCCGGCGGCGAGCCCGCCCCCCACGCACCTTGTTGTTGTACTCCTCCACGAAGCTGCCGAGCGCCAGGCGGAAGCGCTTGTCGGGCCGGACGCTCCAGTTCATGGCGTACACGGTCCAGGGCGCCTCGTACTTGTAGATCTCCTTCCGCTTCCCGTGCAGCGACATGGCGGGGCCGGGGGGCGCGCGCCGGGGCCGCAGGGGGCAAGGGCCCAGCCGAGGCGGCGCGCGGGCGGGGGGGGGGGGTCTCGGTCCGAGCGAGGCCTACGGAAACCGGGGGCTGCGGGCACAGAGGGGCCGGGCGGGGGAAGCGGGTGGAGGGCGCAGCCGGCTCCCGGCCCCGAGTCCCGGCTCCCAAACCCGGAGACGCTGCGCGCCGCGGCGGAGGCCGTTTGGGATTCGGCCCCTCACACAACAGGAGCGGAAACCACGCGGGCCGCCCCGCCCGCTGCGCGTCCGTTGGCTGAGTCGACCGCCACTCAGGGCGTCCCGGACCGCCGTTGGGTGGGAAACCTGCCAGTCAGAAGCGTTCCGGTCTCTTATTGGTCACTGTACCGCTCATTCTAAGCAGTCGCGTCCCGCATTAGTAGAGTCACCTGCCACTCCGTTCGATCCCGCCCCGAAGGATGGGATGCTCTTTCTCAACATCTCATTGGCTGCGATGGGTCGCAGTGGCTTCGCCCCTTCATGAGGCGGGACCATCTATCTTTCTCTCATCCTAGTGGCTGGAAAAAGTGTCAGTCAGGGGTGAGATGTTGGGCGGCAGGTGGGACTTGGAGCCCAACAGGGGTTGGCGGAGCAATTTGAGCCTTAGATTTAGACGTATCCTTCACGGACCGGGGTTCGAATCCCAGCTCCGACAACTAGCTGTGCTGTAAAAACCCTGGGTCAGATCAGGCGCCTTTAAGGAGATCAGCTCCCATTTAAGCAGTAATATAAGGGCCAGATTTTTAGCTGTGCCAAGCAGTCCATATGCTGAGCAGTTTTAAAAACCATGCCCCAGGTCAACCCTTGTAGGTTAATTCAAAGGGCAGGTGCTGCTTCGAGTCAAGGAGTGTATCCCCTACACGGATGGAAACACATAAAGGCCTTGTCTTACGCTAGGAACATTTTTTGAAAGCTTTGCACTACTGCTGACAGTTCTCCTGCAGACAAGGCATTGGAGGAGGAGCAGAGAAAAGTCTAAGTTTTATGGGCCCAGATTCTCAAAAGATTGCAGCACCTGTTTAGGCAGGTACCCAGGGCTGGCCTTACCATGAGGCGAACCGAGGAGGCTGCCTCAGCTGCCCGACTTGGGGGGCACCACTAGGACCCAGAGTGTAGAGAATTGTGTCTGCTGCTGGTGCATCTGGATTCTCTCTGCTTGAGATGCACAGAGAGGGGGGAGTGCTGGGCTGGAGGAAGGAGGGCACAAGAGACAGAACAGGCAGGCAGGAGAAAAGGTGAGAGGGAATAACAGAAAGCAGCAGGAACTGCAGGGAGAGAGAGGAGGAGGAGCCTCTTGTGCACCTCTCAGCACCCCCAGGAGCCTGGGCTGATTTACACCAGCTTCTGAGGGAGCTTCCTGTTTCCTGCTGCTTCCCTGAACCCACTTGAGGAGAACAGACCGTCAACTGAAGTAGCAGGAGCCAGTTAGGCCCTTAAGACGTTGATATCTTCCCTCACTCAGGCCCTGCTTATTTGTCCCCTTCAATTGAGTGTTGAGAGCCACTATAGCTGACACAGAACAGCAGCCATGAGCGAAAGAAGAAAACGCCCATCTGGGACAGCATTCAGAAAAAGAAAGAAAACAAAGGAAGCTTTTCTATGTAAGCAGGAAGGAGCTCTCCTGAGATACATAGACACAAATGTTCATGGTCAGCCTTGCAGCCCCAGGGAGGATGTAAGTGGTGAGGAGATGCCTGATCTCCCAGTTAGTCAAAGTGCAGGTGACCTTCCAGCTACTGCAGCATCCATATCTCCATTTCAAATGGATGCAACCGTGTACATTCCTGAAGAAAAGTGTAGATCAGAGAAGGGTGGGGTGGAGGCGCAAGAAACAGCTGCTGCTGAGTTTAGTTCCTTAAGTCTAGAGGATCCGGGACTGTGGACCCACTTAAGCAGTAGCCTGAGGGACTTCCTTGTACTGCATAGGCCACAGCAAGTGAAAAACTTCATGTTCCCCAAAGACAATGAATATAGAAGTTTCCATCCAACACATTACTGGTGTGAAATCCCCAAATGGTGACAAAGTGGAGAGGTCATGGCTTATGTACTCAAAAATCCAGAATGCTGCATACTGGTTTTGTTGCAAACTCTTCCAGTCTAATGTTCCAGCCACACTGGGTACTACAGGAACAAAGGACTGTAAAAATCTGGCATGCCATGAGAAGGCAGCAAATCACCAGAGAGCATTCCATAGGTGGAAAGAGTTTGAGATGAGACTAAGGTTAAAGGCCACCATAGATAATCAGCATCAAGAGAAGATTGCATCAGAGTCTCTTTACTGGCAAAATGTTCTGAAAAGGCTCATTGCCATTGTGAGAATGCTCGTGACCCAAAACCTAGCACTGCGTGGCACTTCAGATCAACTGTATGTGCCGAACAATGGAAACCTCCTTAAAATTGTGGAGCTGATGGCTGAGTTTGATGCTGGACTCCAGGAGTATCTAAGAAGAGTCACCACCCAAGAAATGTACACACACCACTACCTTGGAAAAACAATTCCAAATGAGATCATACAGTTATTGGCAACAAAAGTCAAACAGAAGATTGTGGCAGATCTGAAGTCAGCAAGATATTACTCTGTTATTCTGGACTGCACACCTCACATCAGCCATACAGAACAAATGACTTTAATGGTGCGTTTTGTAACAACAACAGAACCTAGTGAAAATGTCCCTGCAGTGGTGACTGTCAGAGCATTTTCTAGACTTTATTGACATTGATGATACTACAGGAGCTGGTATGACAAATGTGCTTCTTAAAAAGCTGGAAGATGTGGGAATTGCGATAGCTGACATGAGAGGTCAGGGCTACGATAATGGTGCCAACATGAGAGGCAAGAACAGAGCAGAGCAGACACGGATCCGAGAGTTAAACCCTGGAGCTTTTTTTGTCCCATGCAGTTCTCATTCATTGAACTTGGTGGTCAGTGATGCAGCATCAGCGTCTAGTGAGGCTGCTGAATTTTTGAATGTAATTCAAAGCATCGATGTATTTTTCTCTGCATCAACTCGTCGATGGCAAATTTTGAAGCAACATCTGGGAACATCCTCTCTGACACTGAAAACACTGAGTGCCACACAATGGGAAAGTCAAGTGGAGGCGATAAAGCCTATCAAACACCAGCTTGGGAAGATAGATGATGCCATAGTTGCCATTACGGAGGATAATGCTATGACAGGAACTGTTCATGGGAGAACAGTGGCAGAGAGAAATGGAATCACCAGAAACATACATAACTTCAAATTTCTGTGTGGCTTAGTGTTGTGGCATGACATACTGTTTGAAATAAATGTTGTAAGCAAGAGACTCTTGTTATATCTGGAGCAATGGAACAACTGGACAAAGCAAAGTCATACCTACAGTCTTACCTGTCAGATGAGGGATTTCAAAACATTCTGAAGAGTGCACAGAAGTCGGCAGAGGAACTTCACACTGAAGCTATTTTCCCACCCATTCAAGAATACAAAAGTCACTGAAGAAGACGACATTTTGATTACGAGGCATGGGATAATCCCGTAAGAGACCCCAAACAACAATTCAAAGTTGAATTCTTTAACCGGGTGCTAGATTGTGCAATACAGTCAGCTGAAGAACGTTTCATGCAGCTCAAGGAACACAGCAGTACATTTGGGATGTTGTAGGATATTCCAAAACTCCTCACTATACCTGAAGAAGACCTACACCAGCAATGCAGGGCAGTAGAGACAGCGCTGATGTGACATGATGACATGCGCGATATTGATGCCAGTGATTTAGGTGATGAACTGAAAGCCCTTTCAAAATACATTTCAGCAGGATCAATTCCAAAGGCTGTTCTGGAATATATGTGCACAAATAAGATGACCACCCTCTTTCCAAATGCTTTTGTTGCTCTGCGCATACTTCTAACACTTCCTGTAACAGTTGCCAGTGAAGAACGCAGCTTGTCCAAGCTGAAGTTAATAAAAACATATCTACGCTCCAAAATGACACAGGAGAGGCTGGTCGGCCTTGCAATCATCTCAATAAAGCATGAGCTGGCCCAGACTGTGGGCCTTCAGCAGGAAGCAGTTCAGATCTTTGAAACCAAGAAGGCAAAGAACAGTTTTCAGAGTAGCAGCCGTGTTAGTCTGTATTTGCAAAAAGAAAAGGAGGACTTGTGGCACCTTAGAGACTAACAAATTTATTTGAGCATAAGCTTTCGTGAGCTACAGCTCACTTCATAAACCTGTCTTTATTGCGGTAGGTAGCAGAGCAGTACCGTGAGAGGAGTAGAACAGGAAGAAGAAGGCAGAATTGAGACCTTTCAAGGTTTTGGCCCACGCAAGAGGGCATGGGGGTGTCATTTGAGCCCCCTGCCTCAGGTGCCAAAATGTTGTGGGCCGGCCCTGCAGGTACCAATGTCCTAGTGGCCAGATTTTTGCATCGGAAATAACCTCAGTGCCTTGGCCAAAATTTCTCATTCTCCCACTGTTGTAGTGTGGAAGGTAGCTACTGCCCTCCACGTCACAAAGGCCCAGAGAGAGGTCTGAACAGTTGTCATAGGCCAGCTGGTGAGGGGCCAGTTCAACATCAGTAGTGAGATTTGTTGCGATCTTTGTTAGCCAAAAAGGAGCAATTTGGATGATAGAGGGAGAACGGCACTGCTGATATGCAGGGCCAGGATACAGAAGCCTGTTTCAAAGTTCTTCTGAAAAGTGGCTAAAATGGCCCATCATGTTCTGATCAAGCTCGTTCACTCTTGTTACATCCAAGAAAAGGGACTTGGGCTTCTGCAGCTGCCTCCATTCAAGTGCCGGGTTAGCCTTTATTCTCATTACTTTTCTAAACAATAGGACTGGGAGTTGGCACACCTGTGCTCTGTTCCCAGCTTTGCTATGGGATCCCTGTGTGACCCTGGGAAAGTCACTTCCCCATTCTGTGCCTCAGTTTCCCATCTGTAAAATGGGGATAAGCTAGCATGGAATAAGATAGTGGTGTCCTGTCTGTCATGTAGATCCTCTGGGGCAGGGAACATCTTTGTTTCTTGTCTGTACGGTGCTAAGAACAAAGCAGCCATAAGTCTTGACTGGGGTTCCTAGGTGCATAATATAAATAATAATAATAATTAAAGTATTTGCAACTTACATAAGGCTTTTCCTGTTCTAAGTGCTTTACAAACTGCTCATTACTGTAGTCCTCATAACTGCCCATGAGAAGGGGGTAGCACCATTTTCCTTATCTTGCAGAT